AGGAAACTTGCAGTAGTCTCCAAGCAGGAATAGATTTGTAATAATGGGTTGTAATCAGCCTTCCTTCTAAGGAAAAGCTGAGAACCTTCTCATTTTACTTCATGAAAAGTAAGCTATGAGGCAACTTCTGGCACACATCTATTAACTGGGTGAAATGGGCCTCTTGCCCGAGATTTTACTTCAGCCGCGTCTTCCCAGCACAACCAGCTCTTTCCTCTGCAGCTGATTGGCTCTGGAATGTGGCCAGAAACCTACTTCCTGCAATTAAAGGAGTCAGGCCTCTAACTGCTGACCTGTTTTCTTCTCTTCTGAGTGATGGCGCTGACCATTTTTATCCTCCGGCTGGCCGTCTGCATCCTGGCATTTCCCATGTACCTGCTGGACTTCCTGGGCTTGTGGAACCGGATATGCAAAAAATCGCTCCCCTACTTCTTGGCAAGGTTCACTGTGATGTACAACGAACAGATGGCGAGCAAGAAGCAGGAGCTCTTCAGCAATCTACAGGAGTTCGCAGGCCCCTCCGGGAAGCTCTCCCTGCTGGAGCTGGGCTGTGGCACAGGGCCCAACTTCAAGTTCTACCCGCCTGGATGCCGGGTGACCTGTATTGATCCCAACCCCAACTTTGAGAAGTTCTTGATCAAGAGCATTGCTGAGAACCGACACCTGCAGTTTGAGCACTTCCTGGTGGCTGCCGGGGAGGACTTGCACCAGGTGGCCGACGACTCCATGGATGTGGTGGTCTGCACACTGGTCCTGTGCTCCGTGCAGAACCAGGAGCGGATCCTCCAGGAAGTGTGCAGAGTGCTGAGGCCGGTGAGTACAGGGTGTGAGGGCTGGTAAGTAGTAACCACTATCACCAAGGGCAGCCCTATCAACTTCAGGTAGATCAAACACCCTAACATAAAAAGTACAGCTACTAGAGAAGACACTGCTGAATTTTAAAAAAAATCTTAGAGTGGAAAAGAAGCTATATAGGAAAAGATTGATAATACATGAATATGTAAAATTTTAGAACTCCTGCAGAGAAAAAAAGGAGTATAAAAAAACTTAAAGTACAAAAAAGTTTATAAAAAATATTTGCCAAGGATGATAGATAATGCATTAACTTCATATTAAAAGATGTTACAGGACTTCCCTGGTGGTCCAGTGGTTAAGAATCTGCCTGCCAAAGCAGGACACGGGTTCGATCCCTGGTCCGGGAAGATCCCACATGCCACGGAGCAACTAAGCCCGTGTGCCACAACTACTGAGCCTGTGCTCTAGAGCCCGCAAGCTGCAACTACTGGGCCCGCGTGCCACAACTACAGAAGCCCGTGAGCCTAGAGCCCATGCTCTGCAACAAGAGAAGCCACTGCAATGAGAAGCCCTTTCACTGCAACGAAGAGTAGCCCCCGCTCACAGCAACTAGAGAAAGCCTGCGTGCAGCTACAAAGACCCAGGGCAGCCAAAACTAAATTAATTAATTAAAAAAAATTTTTAATAAAAAAAATAAAAGACATTACAAATCAAGATCAATAGAATTCTTAAATCAGTTTTTTAAAAAGGAGAAAAGTAAGCAAAGCACAGGAACAGAAATATAAATAAAAATAGCCAATATATGATATAAATGTTGTCTTTCAATAAAAGAACAAATTAAAGCAAGATATCACTTATACGTGGAATCTTAAAAAAAATATAACAAACGAATGTATATAACAAACAGAAATAGACTCACAGATATAGAGAACAAACTAATGGTTACCAGAGGGGAGAGGGAAGGGGGGAGGGGCAAGATAGTGGTGTGGGATTAAGAGATACAAACTACTATGTATAAAATAAGCAACAAGGATATATTCTACAGCACAGGGAAATATAGCCATTATTTTTTAATAACTTTAAATGAAGTATAATCTATAAAAATTCTGAATCACTATGTTATACACCTGAAACTAACATAATATTATAAATCAACTACACTTCAATTAAGAAGAAATTAAAGCAAGATACTATTTTTACCTACTACACTGTCAGAGACTTTTAAGTTCAATATGGTGTTGGGGTGAGTTTGGGGGATTGGATTACCCCAATTGGAGGAAATGCCCTCTTTGGAGGGCAATTTGATAATATCAAATTTTCAAGGACACTTCCTCCTTCATCCAACAGGAATTCTTCCTATACCTATACTGCACAAATGTGCAAAAACTCATTCATATGCGAAAATATTCATTACAGTATTTGTAATAACACAAATTGGAAATAACCTAAACATCCAGCAATAGGAGGTAGGAGGCTGTTAAGTAAATTGTCGCATCGTATAAAGGATTTCTGTGCAGCTGTTAAAAGAACAAGGAAGAGTTTCCTATGTTGATATGAAAAAACTATCTCAAGAGACAGTGTTAAATTAAAAAGCAATGAAAGCATAGAATATTATATACAGTATAAGTCCATTTGTGTGTGTGTGTGAGAATATACCTATATAAGTATTTATGTTAATGGGAATGATACACAAGAAACTATTAACAGTGGTTACCTCTTGGGAAGGGAATTGGATGAGGGGAAGGAATTACTTTTCATATTATACCTCTCTGTATAGTTCGAAATTCTTTATACCTATATGTAATTTTCACATATTACCTTTATTGTTTGTTTAAAAACTAGTTTAAAATAGTTTTATTCTAAACATAGGTGAATATAAAGTATGGATATCTTTTTTTTAATTAATTAATTAATTTATTGTTTATTTTTGGCTGCGTTGGGTCTTTGTTGCTGTGTGTGGGCTTTCTCTAGTTGCGGTGTGAAGGCTTCTCATTGCGGTGGCTTCTCTTGTTGCAGAGCACAAACTCTAGGCGCATGGGCTTTGGTAGTTGTGGCATGCGGGCTCAGTAGTTGTGGCTCACAGGCTCTAGAGCACAGGCTCAGTTGTGGCACTCGGGCTTAGTTGCTCCGCGGCATGTGGGATCTTCCCAGACCAGAACTCGAACCCATGTCCCCTGCATTGTCAGGCGGATTCTTAACCTCTGTGCCACCAGGGAAGTCTCAAGTATGGATATCTTAACATTTGAATTTACTATACTAGAGGAAATGGATGTTCTGTAATCCCCAGTTTTATTTTCTAACAGAGGAAGTTCCTCAGGAAGAAAAGGACTTGAAGATAGTGTTTAGAGGCAATAATATACAGTCGTCCCTCAATTTCCTCGGGGTCCCTTCCTGTCCCCTCCACAGATAACCAAAATCTACAGAAGCTTAAGTCCCTTATATAAAATGGTGCAGTACCTGCATATAACTTATGCACATCCTCCCATATACCTTAAATCATCTCTAGATTACTTATAATACCTAATACAATGTAAATGCTATGTAAACAGGTGCCAGCATGTGGCAAATTCAAGTTTTGCTTTTTTGGAACTCTCTGGATTTTTTCCATTTTTGATCTGCATTTGGTTGAATCCAAGGATGCAGAACTTGTGGAGACTGAGGGCCAACTGTAATTCTGTCTTTGGCTCAAGGATAGGCCAACGTCAAAGTAGTAACTGAAAAAAGTCTGATTCTGATACTCAGATCCTGGGTTCTTGTGTCCTAAGACTGGGCACAGTTAGATGTTTTGCTTACAGTGTTACTAATCTCACAACACCTCTGCAAAGCAAATAACGGTCATCTCTGGCTTAAGCCCTGAGAGTGCCCTTAGGGGATCAAATTCTTGGTAGCCTTCCTTAGCTCCTCCGAAGCACCCATTCTCTGCTGAACAGAACCAGGAGCTTTCCTACATTCTCATGTAGGAAACAGTCCTTTAAAGCAGGTTTTGCCTTCATGTTGGATTGGGGAAACAGACCCAGAGGAGTTAAGAAACTTGCCTCAAGTTACACAGCCACTATGTCTGACTTTAATGCAAATATTCTTATCACTGTACCACAGTGCTTGTCACTGGGGCTTTTTATCTGACTTCAACATTTCTACCACTTTTGCTGGCTTTTCTTCCTCTGCCCATCCCCTAAACGCCGGAGTTTCTTTTTTTAGCTCTCATTTCACTTATATACACCCCCTGTGCAATCTCATGTACCCCAATGTTTTCAATTACCACGCATACACAAATGGCTTCCAAATCTAAGTATCAAGCTCAGATCTCCCTTCTAACCCCAGATCTTCATATCCAGCTGTCTACTCGACAGTCACCTGAATGGGTAACAGGCATCTCTAGCTTAACCTGTGTAACCCAGAGGGCATCAGCAACCTACCCAGGCCTGGATCACCTCTTCTCTCCTGTCCTCTTCTATGGAAAAAAATATTTCAATCAGGAAATTTCAAGTTTTCCATTCCTGAACACAGGTCTTACACTTACCCATAGATTTGGAGGAACTCCATCTCTAAACTCTGCCTGGGACAGCCAACACTAGGGAGGCTAGAAGAGGCTAAGGAGAGTGGGACAGTCACCCTGGGTTTGGGAGGTAATCATTGGTCCGTTTCCCCCTTCACCCCAGAGGTAGAAGTAGAAAATTTCTGAAGACTCCTTAATAATGTGTAGCCTCTACTGTGTCCAGACTTGACCTATATGTATAGGACCGTCCTAGATGAAAGCAGCAGTTACTAACTCCTATATGACAGTAATTTACACACAGCACCCACTGACCAAATAAAATACCTAATGACAAAATATAACCATGAATTTAGTAACACTTTTAGATGATTCAGTATTTTAATAAAATAAATCCTATCGTTTACATCCTGTGACAATGGTACAAAAGTGTAAGACATAGGCTTTTTGGATCCACCATCTGTGGTGGTGCCGCCACCAGGATGCAGATTTTTGTGAAGATCCGGACAGGGAAGACCATCACTCTCGAGGTCGAACCCTCGGATACGATAGAAAATGTAAAGGCCAAGATCCAAGATAAGGAAGTAATTCCTTCTGACCAGCAACGACTGACCTTTGCTGGCAAGCAACGGGAAGATGGACGTATTTTGTCTGACCACAACATTCAAAAGGAGTCTACTCTTCATCTTTTGTTGAGACTTCGTGCTGGTACCCAGAAAAGGAAGAAGTCTTACACCACTCCCAAGAAGAACATGCATAAGAGAAAGAGGGTTGGGAATTTCCTGGCGGTCTAGTGGTTAGGACTCTGCACTCTCACTGCGGAGGGCCCAGGTTCGATCCCTGGTTGGGAAACTAAGATCCCACAAGCCACACGGCCAAAAGAAAAAAAAGAGGAGAGAGAGAGAGAGAGAGAGAGAGAAAGAAGGTTAAGCTGGCTGTCCTGAAATACTCTAAGGTGGATCAGAATGGCAAAAGCAGTCACCTTCATCGGGAAGGCCCTTCAGATAAATGTGGTGTGGAGTTTTTATGGCCAGCCACTTTGACAAACACTATTGTGGCAAATGTTGTCTGACCTATTGTTTCAACAAACCAGAAGACAGGTTATTGTATATTGGTTAATAAAAGACATGAACTAAAAAAAAAAAAAAAAAAGTATAAGACATGGTTATTTAATCCCAGGCAGTACTAGGTATGGATTCAGACACCCACAGGTTTGCAAAGCAGAGCCTAAGAACAATACTCAGATGAATTTAAAGATTTTTTTTTTTAATAAAAGAAGGGGAAGTTTAAAAAATTGTAATTAAAAGGCAAACAACAAACAAGGGAAAACATCTGTAGTATATGTAGTCTAATTATACTAAAAGCCCTTACTAATCAGTAAGAAAAAACCCAATGGCCTATTAGAAAACCGATAGTGGGGACTTGCCCTGTGGCACAGTGGTTAAGACTCGCAATGCAGCGGGCACAGGTTCGATCCCTGGTCAGGGAACTAGACCCCACATGCATGCTATAACTAAGAGTGAGC